ATTTACTTTGAGATTTTCTTCTAACTCTAGGATTCAATTGATTTAACCCAAACTTGACTCTTAACCCTTTTTTTTTTTTTTTTTTTTTTTTTTGCGGTACACGGGTCTAGGCTCCAGACGCGCAGGCTCAGCGGCCATGGCTCAGGGGCCTAGCCGCTCCGCGGCATGTGGGATCTTCCCAGACCGGGGCACGAACCCACGTCCCCTGCATTGGCAGGCGGATTCCCAACCACTGTGCCACCAGGGAAGCCCTTAACGCTTTTTTAAATGAGATATTAACTAAGGCATAACATCATTTCACATTTACCATCTAAATCTTAATAAAAATACAGTAGAAATGTGTAATGAGAGAGAAAGAAAAGGAGAGAAGAGGAGAGAAAGAAGGAGAAATTTTATTCTTTTGTATAGATTTTTAGATGCAATTGTTTTAAATATGTTATAATACATTGGCGTTCTTGACCTAGAGTTGTTTAAGATAACTTGTGTGATGCATGCATGTAACTTGGTAAGGATAGCCATGAAGAACACTTACAATTATACCAAACTTGCAGTGATGAAATGATGAAAATCCTGCTGAGCATAGGCACTACGGCTTGCACGACCAAGATCTCAACACAGGGCACTGGATTCCACCATCAGAAATTCTGCAATTACCACATCTAGAACTTACATAGAGAGGCAACCTCTGTTATCCTTTGTCATCTGGACCAAATCTGTGTATATTTGGCTAGTTTGCATCACTGATTCTGATTCAAAGTCTAGGGCTGATACATATGAGTGTGGGAATTAGACATGCTCTTGTTTCCTAGCTGCCAAAGAGGTTGATGAAATGAGTGTCTGGCATTTCAGTTTCCCAAATGGTGTAAGGACACTACCTCAAAAAACAGGTTTCTCCAAATAGAGGAAGGGAATCAGCTGCTAAGCAACCAAAAAGAATGATGACGATCATTGCAGCCATGGAAGCCAGCGAAAGCAAATATTTTAGGAAAAATGAAATGGTCAGTGGTTTCAAACACTGCCGAGAGGTCAAAGGAAACTGAGATGATGCTTTTGAGTTTTGCAAATAGAAAGTCATTGAAACACTTTATGAAAGCTGTTTCAGCAGAGTGTTGGAATCCAAAGCTAGATGTTGTGGGTTTAGAAGTGAGTTTGACCAGAGGAAGTATCATAAATAGTGAATACATATCCTCCCTGAATACTGGTTAAATTCTAGAGTGAGCAGGTACCATATTTCATTTTCATCAACTCACAGGCAATTGGCCCTACTGCCTAGAGGTAGGTGATTGCTGTGCTCAGCCTCTTTCGTGGAAAGAATCATTGATGGGAATGGACCTCAAGTGCTTTAAATATGAGTGATGCTACCACCGTATTGTACACTAATCAACCATGCTTTGTGGGCTTTTATTTGATTCTAGTTACATTTTAACCCTACAGTTTCAGCCACCTTAGTAATGGCTCATTCTCTCTGTAATAATACAAAGGAAAGAAAGTGGGTGAGATGCCATAGAAGGATGCTGAGCAACAGGTCTATGGAATTTGGCTGCTTTTGTCTAAACTCATTTCACATTCTTGTTACTGTTCTTCCACCAGCTCTGCCACTAACATCCTCTCTGCGCACCTTAGCATCACGAGATAGTTTCAGGCTTTTTCTATTTTTTCTGTTCCATTTTGGTGATTCTTCAAGTAAATAATTTCCTTATTCTCTTTTCACCTCTTCAGTCTTAGACATTGACATTCATTTTCAACAGGGACTCAGGGGACTTCCCTGTTTGTCCAGTGGTTAAGACTCCACACTCCCTATGCAGGGGGCCTAGGTTCCATCCCTAGCTGGGGAGCCAAAAAAAAAAAAAAAGGGGGGGGGCTCAGATATAATCCCCTTTGCTTCTTAATCTAGAACCAGAGGTAAGTCTTGCCCATTCTCTTATCAGTGCCAGTAACCAATGCCCTTGAGCTGATGGGTTTCTGGATTTCTCCCATGAGAAGGTCAAGCAAACTCTTGATAAGATATGCAATTATTCAGTATCTCTGTCATTATAGCATTCATTCATTCATTTACTTATTCATTCAATAAATGTTTTTAGAGGACCTACTGTGCATCAAGCAATAATCCTGTTGATTATTCCAGTTTTGTACTTTTTATGATGTATCACAAGGAGAGTGTATTCAATAATATTATAGTATTATATATATATATATATATAGTTGGCCATAAATTGAGGGATCATATTCAATACAGAGATTGTATATAGACAGACATTTTGGAAAAATAATCTAATTTTGCACATTTAGTAGCATCAGTAATTATGTGAAATAAATTGTGTTCACCAAACATCACCCCAAAATGTATTTAACAGACAGATTAATACATTAATGATACAGAGAGAAACATTCTTGCATGCTTCACATTGATGCTATCTGTGGGGATGAAATGCAGGCATGAGGCAGCCACTGAAATTCTCACAAAATTGTAGATGTCAGAAAGTGAAATGTCTGATGTCAAGCAGAAAAGGAAGTGTCTGTCAGAGCGTTCTGATGAGGGTTGGTTGTCTGCTACTGGCAATAATAATGAGCTCAATGGGGTCTCAAAGGTCAGAGTGCCAGAAGGAGAAACACCACTTAGGAAATAAAATATATTTAATGAAAAAGAACTAAGGTCAGCAAGTTATTAGAATGCCAGGGATTTAGTCCATGAGAAAAAGAGCAAGGAAGCAGAGTTATTTAACAAAACCGATAGAACAGGAGATAGAAAACAATAAAATCTAGCTGTGCATATTAACATCTTTGTAACTAAAGCATAAAGTGAATTCTCAGTAACTGGTGAATCTGAATTGGCAATGATTTCATGAATACGATACCAAAAGCACAAGCAACAAAAGCAAAAATGCAGAGATGGGACCACATAAAACTAAAAATCTTCTGTACAGCAAAGAAAACAATCAATAGAGTAAAAAAGCAACCTATCGAATGCAAGGAAATATTTGCGAACCATGTATCTGTTAAGGGATTAACCTTCAACGTATATACTGAACACCTAAAATCCAATAATTAAAAAACAAAAACAAAATGAATAACTCAATTTAAAAATAGGCTAAGGACTCAAATAGACATTTCTCCAAAGAAGACATAAAAATGGTCAACAGCTATATGAAAAGAAATGTTTAACGTCACCTGTTATAAGGAAAATGCAAATCAAAACTATACAAAGAGATGTCACCTCACATATGAAGAAATGACTATTATTTAAAAAAAAAATTGGACCACAAATGTTGGTGAGGGTATGGAGAAATTGGAAATCTTGCACACTTTTGCACCATTGTTGGGAGTAGAAGTGCTATGGAAAACAGTATGGAAGCTCTTCAAAAAATCAAAAAAAGAACTACCATCTGATCAATTTATCCCACTTCTGGGTTTTTACCCAAAAGAATTGCAATCAGTACCTTCAAGAGATATAAGCGCTCCTATGTTCATGACAGCAATATTCACAATAGCCAAGATGTGGAAAAAACCTACATGTCCATCTACAGATAAATGGATACAGAAACTGTGGTTTATGCATACAGTGGAATGCTAGTTAGTCTTAAAAATAAAGAAATTCTGCAATATGCCATAATGCAGATGGACCCTGAGGACATGCTAAGTGAAATAAGCCAGTCACAGAAAGACAAATACTGTACGATTCCATTCATATGAAGCATCTAAAATAGTCTAATTCTTAAAATTAAAGAGCAGAATGGTGGTTGCCAAGGGCTGGGGGAGAGGGAGAAATATGGAGTTAGTAATCTTTGGGCATAACGTTTCAGCCAAGCTTGCTGAATAAACTCTGGACAGCTGCTGTAGAACATTGTACCTATAGTCAACAATAGTAATTAGTCGCTTAAAAATTTGTTAAGAGGGTAGATCACATTCTAAGTGTTCTTTCAACAATAAAATAAACAGAGAGAAAGAGAATTGGCACAAAAGAAGATATTCAAAAGGCCAGTAAGCAAATATAAAAATACTAAACATAATTAGTCATGACAGTAATGCATATTAAAACCATAATTAAATACATTCCACACCCACAAAAATGTCTAAAATTTAAAAGACCAACAATACCAAGTGTTTGAGAGAATGCTGAAAAGTTGAAACCCTCACACATAGCTATTTGCAATTAAAAAGGTTCAAGAATATGAAAACAGTTTGGCTATTTCTTAAAAGTTAAATGTACACTAACCCATGACCTAGTAATTCCACTTCCAGCTATTTATTTAAGAGGAATGAAACCATATATCCACAAAATGACATGTATCAAAATGTTCATAGGGGCTATATTCATAATAGATCTAAACTGGAAACAAGACTAACATCCCCCAACAGGTGAATGAATAAACAAAGCATGGTATATTGATAACTCTCAATAATATTTAGAGACAAACAAACAAAAACCTGTGGATACATGCAAACAACATGAATGTTACTCAGAAAAGTTTTTCTGAGCAGAGGAAAATACAAATGACTACACACAGTGTAATTTCACATATGAAATTCTAGAACAGACAAAACCAGTCTTTAGTGGCAGAAAGCAGATAATTGGCTGCCTCAGGCCAGAGTGTGGAGGACTGACAACAAAGATCATAAGATAGTTTTCGGAGTGATGGAAGTGTTCTATATACGGATTATAGTAGTGACTACATTGTCACAGCATTCAAAATGGGTGTGTTTTAGTTTCTGTAACTTATATCTCAAAATTATTAATTTTTTCAGTGCTTTTCCTCAGCATGATTGGTATGTTTTACCTCTTTGCAGTTACCATAGGTGTACCTGCCATCCATTTGTTATTGAGCTCCTTTAATCCATTCTCGGCACCTTAACCAGAGTGGTAATTTTGAAATGTAAATTAGACCTTGTCCCGTCCACACTTAAAACATTTCAAAGGCTTCTCACTGAATTTAGGATTAAGCGTTAAGTCCTTTACCTGGTCCACAGGCCCTGTGTTCAGGCTCCAACCTACCTGTCCTGCTTCATATGCACAACTCTTTACAATAGCCATTCTGCGTTTTGGAATCTCTCATCATGGGGCCCTTCTGTTCATCTGCCCAGAATTCTTTTTCCTCACCACCATCCTTCCTTTGGTTGGGTACCTCTACTATTCTTATGAATGTCAGCTCAATTACACCTCCTCTGGAAACTCTTTCATGACCTCTTAGATTATTAGGTCCATTCCCTTTATGTGCACTTTCATAGGACAGCACCTAAAAGGACAACTCTTATTAAGTTGGTGAATTGACATAAAAAAAAAAATCATCAGGGCTTCCCTGGTCGCGCAGTGGTTGAGAATCCGCCTGCCGATGCAGGGGACACGGGTTCGTGCCCCAGTCCGGGAAGATCTCACATGCCGCGGAGCGGCTGGGCCTGTGAGCCATGGCCGCTGAGCCTGCGCGTCCGGAGCCTGTGCTCCGCAATGGGAGAGGCCACAACAGTGAGAGGCCCGCGTACCGGGGGAAAAAAAAAAAAAAATCATACTCTACTAGGTTTTGAACCACTGAGCTACAGTCTCCCCAAAGTCCTGTTAATTCTAAAATGCTATGATTTTATAAGTTGAATTACTTTTACTTGAATTCTGTGAGAATCTTGCAAGACAAGATATCGTATTCCAAAAAGATTACTGTAATTCCTTAAATTGTCTTAAGGAATTATTATTGCAATAATATTGCAAGTATTATTTGCTTCATCTTGTCATCACTATTATACTTCTGAGCAATAATGTCATCTGTCTATACTACCTACTCTGTGTCATATGAAACAACACAGTTGAATTAGAATTAAAAGTTCCCATTGTCTCAAGGCTTTCTCTTGAGGGAGTCAGGCAATCTTGGACTGGAGCTTGCTCTTGTATATTCGCTATCCTGAAGTATTGAGGGAGTTCATTCATTGATTACTCCTTTCATTTCTACTATTTGTAAAATGAGAATAATATTATCTATATTATTAGCAATATATTTCCTCTATTATTACTAAAATATTGCCTCTTATTATTACAATGGATGTGAAGTTGAAGTACCTGAACATAATAGGCATTCATTCAATGAACAGTAATTATTAAAGAATCCAGCAGTGGCGAAAAAAGGTAGATTTTTTTTTCCCCTTTACTGGAGCCTAAAGTGTCAGTTCGGAAAATCAATACAAGTCACTTCCTTAGGTCTTGAGGCATAATTGAGTTAAAACACTTCTGTCCCCATCTGCAATTCTACTAATACATGCCAGGCGCTTAAATCAATGTGTCCCAGGCCTGCCTGTTTGCACAGGCACACAACTCTTTAAAGAAGAGGCACCTACATTTGTATGAGTCAGAGGGTATCACAACTGAGAGTTAGCATAGACAGAACTAGAGTTACTATTCTAGGCCTAGAATCCAGCCAAGTTAATACTACATTAATGTTCTTCCAGAGTGATTAAAGGAATTCCATTTCTATTTCTGCCTCCCATTTCCCATACAGACTTAACACCATCCCAAGTTTATCACATAACCTTTTGTGAATTTCCACAAATCCATTTCTCAGGAGGAATTTGCAGGTAACCTCTCCAGGTGTGTTATAAGATCAGGCTACCCAGAAAAAACAAATGCCTTAACAAGTGATCTTAGCTTCCCTACCAATTTTGTTTCTTTGTACACAAATACCCAAAGTAAAATAAATGAAATTGCTAGATTTGGATGCAACTTTGGCACTTGAAGAAAGGAGACAAGCATTTCACCCTTCAAGACCATATGGACACTGATTATTACTACAATCAGTACATCAAGATGATTGTGAAGCATTAAAAACAACCAGCACGGATCTGGAAGAGTTAGATAAAATAAATTTCAAGTCTGTGAACGGATCCAATGGAATAAGTTACATATAAAAAGGAATTAGGGGCTTCCTTGGTGGCGCAGTGGTTGGGAGTCCGCCTGCCGATGCAGGGGACACGGGTTCGTGCCCCGGTCCGGGAAGATACCACATGCCGCAGAGCGGCTGGGCCCGTGAGCCATGGCCGCTGAGCCTGCGCGTCCGGAGCCTGTGCTCAGCAACGGGAGAAGCCACAACAGTCAGAGGCCCGCGTACCGCAAAAAAAAAAAAAAAAAGAAGGAATTAGTTCAAACTTCTAGCCAAACTGGACTTCTTATTTATTTTTTTATTTTTATTTTTTATAGATTTTTACAGTTTCATTGAATGCTTATAGTTAACAGTAGAGTGTTCTGCCAAACTAGACTTCTGACATCATGCTTAAATACCAACAATTCATGTGGTTTCCCCAAATTGTTTTGTTTTAAACATCTTTGTTTTAAACATTTCTGACACACAGAAAAGTTAACAGTATAGCACAAAATGTACTCATATACTCTCGATCTACATTCAGTGATTGCTAACATTCTCTCTCTCTCTCTCTCTCTTATCCCACACATACACATAAACACATTTTGAAGACCTTGTGAAAAAAATTCAATCATCCTGACACTTCATGCCTACTAACTTCCAGTTTCTAAGACAAGATGGGATACTATAATTATGATAAGATGGTATATTATGATTTATAATAAGAAATGCATATTTGGTCTTAATCTGCATTCCTGGCACATAGCTCCTTTTAACCCTTATAATATGCCAAGGTGAGAATCTTTGATCATAATATTTGGTCTTTTGTCCTCAAACAGTTCCGGCTCCTCAAATAGTTTCAGAGTGATAAAGGTGAAAAGAGTGTCTTGTTATTCACAACAAACCTTTTCAACTGTCAACCTGAATTTGTTAATGAGGTGACTTTTGGAAAGCCCCTCAGGATGGGGGCTGGTTGCCAGGGGAGCCATCCATGAGATCAGAAGGTTGGAACTTTCCAGCTGTCTTTCCAACCTCCCAGGAGGGGAGAGGGACTGGAGGTTGAATTAATCACCAATAGCCAATGATTTAATCAATAATGTCTATGTAACGGAGCTGCCATGAAAACCCTAAATGAAGGGGTTCTGAGAGCTTCTGGGGTTGGCAAACATGTAGAGATGCTGAGAGCGGTGTACCCAGAGAGGGCCTGGGAGCTCCACCCCCTTCCCACATACCTGCCCTATTCATCTCTTCCATCCGTCTGTTCCTGAGTTATATCCTTTTACGATAAACTGTTAAAAGTATGCTCTTTTCCTGAGTTCTGTGAGCTGCTCTAGCAAATTAATCAAACCTGAAGAGGGGTTGTGGGAGCTTATGATTAACAGCCCGTCAGTAGGAAGCACAAGGAACAACCAGAACCTGCAGCTGGTATCCGAAATGGGGGTGAGGTGGGAGTGGTGGTGAAGGAAGAAGCAGTTTTGTGGAGCTGAGCCCTTAACCTGGGGGAGCTGACTCTATTTTCAGGTAGACAGTGTCAGAATTGAGTTAGATTGTAGGATGCCCAGCTGGTGTGGCAGAATTGTTTGGTGTGGGGAAAACCCACACATTTGGTTATCAGAATCAAGTGTTGGGAGTAAAGGAGACACGCAGGAGGTGTTTTGTTTTGTTTTTTTCCCTTTACATAAGGACATTTCATTACATAATTACAATAATGTTATCAAAACTGAGGAAATTGTCAAGCATTTTCTAATATCATCTGATCTCTAGTTGATGTCCATATTTCTCTAATTTTCAACAAGTATTTCATGGTTTATATTTCCATGGTTTATTTTTATTGTATTGATTCAGGAATAAAACAAAGCTTGCATACTATATTTTGACTCTTTTGCCTTTAAATAGACTAGCTTTCTGCCATTTCCCTAGGTCCCTTTTACAAGAGTTCAGGCCAGTTGTCATAAAGAATGTACAACATTCTGGATTAGGGCATAATTTACCTTGTCTTTCAATCTTCTGTATTTCCTACAATTTGGAAGCTAGATCTAAGGATTTGATGAGTTTTGAGTTAAATATATTTGGCAAGATAACTTATTTTGTAGGTGATATCAGAAACCTCACATGGAATCAAAACAAGGGACAGCTATTGCTACAATGTGCCAATATTAGTGATGTTAATTTTGATCTCTTGGTCAAGGGGTATATTGATAAGTTATGGAATGCTGCTTAACAATGTTACCACAAACACAGTGAATTAAACCACCATATATTTATTACCTCACGTTTTCTCTGGGTCAGGAGTCCGGTCATGGCTTAGCTTGAACCTCTCTTTCAGAGTCTCACATGGGGCAGTCAGGACACAGGTCAGGGGTGTAGTCTCATCTGAGGCTCAAATGCGGAAGGAGTCACTTCCAAGCTCATGTGGTTCTTGGCAGCATTTAGCTTCCTACAGGCTGCCAAATTGAGGGCCTCAGTGTCTTGGGGGCTGTTGGCTAGAAGCAGCACTTAGTCTTTTGCCATGTGGCTTTGTCCCATAGTACAGTTCACAAATGGCAACTTGCTGCTTCTAACCCAGCAAGGGGAAGAGGTTTTCAGTGAAACAGATATTACGGTACAATAAGTCCCCTACATATGAACGAGTTCCCTTCTGAGAGCATGTTCATAAGTCCAATTTGTTCCTTAAGCCCAACAAAGTTAGCCTAGGTACCCCCCTAACACAATCAGCTGTATAGTACTGTACTGTAATAGGTTTATAATATTTTACACACGAATAATACATTAAAAAACAGAAAAAATAAATAAAACATTTTTAATCTTACGGCAGAGTACCTTGGAAAGTACAGTAGTCCAGTCCAACAGCTGGCACACAGGGGCTGGCACTGAGTGAACAGACAAGAAGAGTTACTGACTGGAGGAGGGAGAGGAGGTGGGAGATGGTAGAGCTGAAGGATCGTCAGCAATAGGAGGCGGAGGGCAAGCTGCAATTTCACTCATGCCTGACGTTGATGGCACAGGTGCTGGTTCCTTGCTGGATTCAATTCTATTTACCCTCTTGAAAAAAGGATCCAGTGATATGTGGGTAGTAGCTCTTTTTTTCTCATCATAAATGATACAGTAGCACTGGATTGCATTCTGAACAGCTGCTGCAGCCCTCATGTACTGTTCTACATTTGGGTCCTGTGCTTCAAAAACTAGCAGTGCCTCCTCAAATAAAGAAAATGCCCTTGCCATTGCATTTCCTGTGTTGTGAATCTCTTCAGTTTTTCAGTTACTTCTTTCTCTTGTCTCTCTTTGTCCTTTCTCTGGGCCTCCGATTCCATCAGGTCTTCGTTAGTAAGTTCCTCATGTTGTACAGCAAGGAGTTCAATGAAGTCATCCTCTTGCAGATCTAGCTTGGACTAAAGACA